CCGATACCAGTATCGGTATCGGTGCATCCCTAGCTGTTAGCGTTTATAAACTCATGAACATACTGACATGATTTTATCTGTGAGCTCGCAGTGATTGAAATGACTTTTGTGACGACTCGGCGTATTGCATCCTAATCTCTAAAAAAAGTAAAGCGTTATTATCCACGCACAGGTTTACTCCTGCCCTTACTGCACCAACTCTCCTATCTTCGGCTCACTCCTCAAGCTCACCAAGCACATAAAGGAGAACCACAAGAACATCCCGCTGGCCAACAACAAACGGCAAGCCAAAGTCGCAGACCTGAGCCCCGCCTCGTCGGACGTCGAGATCTCCTCCCCGAAACGCCACCGGCTCGGAGGGGACTCCACTCCGTCCGTGGGGAGCAACGGAGACTATCCCTGCAACCAGTGCGATCTGCGCTTTGCTAGTTTTGAGGGTTTCCAGGCCCACCTCAAGTCGCACCTGGAGATGCTGCTGAGGCGCCAGTCCTGCCCCCAGTGCAACAAGGAGGACTTTGAGTCGCAGGAGGCGTTGCTGCAACACCTGACGGTGCACTACACCACCACGTCCACCCAGTATGTGTGCGAGAGCTGCGATAAACAGTTCTCGTCGGTGGACGACCTGCAGAAACACCTGCTCGACATGCACACATTTGTCTTGTACCACTGCACCCTCTGTCAGGAGGTCTTTGACTCCAAGGTGTCTATCCAGGTAAACGACACGCGGCTCGTTGTCGAGTGTGACGTTTTGCAGACACGAATGCCGAAAGATGCAAAGTTTATCTGCTGAGTTTGTTTCTCTGGCCTCACATCCAGGTGCATCTGGCAGTGAAGCACAGCAACGAGAAGAAGCTGTTTCGCTGCACAGCGTGTGCCTGGGACTTCAGGAAGGAGGCGGATCTTCAGCTGCACGTTAAACATAACCATCTGGGCCAAAGGTCAGGCCTCCCGGGAGGCCTCGGTGCAGGTACTGTCAGGCTGTGCCACGTTTAACAAACACACGATTGTGATGTGAAAAGTCTGATATTTCCTGTTCCCGTGCCACTTGATCTTTGACAGGACTCAAACCCCGGAAGTGCATCTTCTGCGGGGAGAGCTTCGGAACAGAAGTGGAGCTCCAGTGTCACATCACCACGCACAGCAAGAAGTTCACGTGCCGCTTCTGCGGCAAAGCTTTCCACGCCATCTCGCTGCTGGAGAGACACCTGAGAGAAAAGCACTGCATCTTCGACGGCAGCAACATCACCGGCAACGGAGGCGGCACCGGGAGCAGCGGGAGCCAGAACGGGACGCCTAACGGTTTGGCGCAGACCTCCAAGCGAGGAGGAGGAGGAAGTGGCAACGGAGGAGCAGGAAGCGTGGAGAGAGCGACGGTCGCGGCTGCCGAGCAAGCCGACCTGCAGAACATGCTGCTGAAGAGCGCAGCGGTGGGAGGAGGCTCGAGCCAGGGCGGAGATGCAGCCAACAGCCACGAGGCGAGCGGCGGAGAGGAGGAGCTGGATAATGCAGAGCCCATGTACGCCTGCGATATCTGCGGCGCCGCCTACACCATGGAGTCTCTGCTGCAGAACCACCGCCTGCGCGACCACAACATCCGGCCGGGAGAAGACGACGCCGGTAATGTCGTACTCTGTCATCGATAGGGAGTCCTCTGTGTCGTTGTCGTGTTTGTGATTGTGTGTGTTCATCATGTGTAACAGGTTCTCGAAAGAAGAAGGCGGACTTCATCAAAGGAAACCACAAGTGCAACGTGTGCTCCCGAACCTTCTTCTCTGAGAACGGGCTTCGTGAGCACGCTCAGACGCACCGCGGCCCCGCCAAACACTACATGTGTCCCATCTGTGGCGAGCGTTTCCCCTCGCTGCTGACCCTCACCGAGCACAAGGTACTTCAGCCTGCTGCATTCGTGTCTTTAGACTCCACTGAACGAACGAGTGCAGCGCTGCAGGTGCAGCAGCGCTGACACGTCTGTGTTTGTGCGTGCGCCACGTTTCTGCGTGTGCCACGTTTCTGCCATTTTCTCTTTCTGCACCTCGACTTTGCTCCTGACTCGTCTTTAGAGCTAAATCCTCCTCAGAGAGGCGACTCGTTACAGTTATGATGCTGATGTAGAGGTTTTATCAAAATGACTTCTTCATCTGATTTTTCTTTGGTGTTTTGATGCGTCACAGTCAGTGTTGGGCAAGTTACTTTGAAAAAGTAATTAATTACAGTTACTAGTTACTTCTTCAAAAAAGAGTTACTTACAGCTACTTCCTGCAGCTGATATATGATGCAGTAAACTGAACACAGCTTCAACCGTCTGTTTGTTGAAAATAGTAACCGACTGCGTTTTCTTGTTAGTAACTGTAACGACAGGAATAGTGATTAGTCAGGTTTAGGGTTTTAATAGTTTTGCAATTTTCATTAGTTTTTATTTTTATTTAGTTTTGAC